TATGCATGTATGTATGTATATGCATGTATGCATGTATGTATGTATATGCATGTATGCATGTATGTATGTATATGCATGTATGCATGTATGTATGTGTATGCATGTATGTATGTATATGCATGCATGTATGTATATGCATGCATGCATGCATGTATGTATATGCATGCATGTATGTATATATATGTATGCATGCATGTATGCATGCATGTATATATATGTATGTATGTATATGTATGTATGTATGTATGCATGCATGTATGTATATGTATGTATGTATGTATGCATGCATGTATGTATATGTATGTATGTATGCATGCATGTATGTATATGTATGTATGTATGCATGCATGTATGTATATATATGTATGTATGCATGCATGTATGTATGTATATGTATGTATGCATGCATGTATGTATGTATATGTATGTATGCATGCATGTATGTATATATATGTATGTATGCATGCATGTATGTATGTATATGTATGTATGCATGCATGTATGTATGTATATGTATGTATGCTTGCATGTATGTATGTATATGTATGTATGCATGCATGTATGTATGTACAAACCGGATTCCATAAATGTTGGGACACTAAACAAATTGTGAATAAAAACTGAATGCAATGATGTGGAGGTGCCAACATCTAATATTTTATTCAGAATAGAGGAGACCAGTTTCTCAAGTTTAGAAATAGGAATGCTCTCCCATTCATGTCTTAATACATGCCTCTTAACTGTTCAATCGTCTTGGGCCTTCTTTGTCGCACCTTCCTCTTTATGATGCGCCAAATGTTCTCTATAGGTGAAAGATCTGGACTGCAGGCTGGCCATTTCAGTACCCTGATCCTTCTCCTACATAGCCATGATGTTGTGATTTCTGCAGAATGTGGTCTGGCATTATTGTGTTGAAAAATGCAGGGTCTTCTCTGAAAGAGATGACGTCTAGATGGGAGCATATGTTGTTCTAGAACCTGAACATAGTTCTCTGCATTAATGGTGCCTTTCCAGACATGCAAGCTGCCCATGCCACAAGCGCTCATGCAACCCCATACCATCAGCGATGCAGGCATCTGAACGGAGCGTTGATAACAACTTGGGCTATCCTTGTCCTCTCTGGTTCGAATGACATGGCGTCCCAGTGTTCCATAAACAACTTCAAATCTTGACTCATCTGACCACAGAAAAGTCTTCCGTTTTGCCACATTCCATTTTAAATGACTCCTGGCCCAGTGCAAACATCTGAGCTTGTGGAGTTTGCTTAGAAATGGCTTCCTCTTTGCACTGTAGAGTTTCAGCTGGCAACGGCAGATGGCACGGTGGATTGTGTTCACTGAGAATGCTTTCTGGAAGTATTCCTGAGCCCATTTTGTTATTTACTTGACAGTGGCATTCCTGTTTGAGGTGCAGTGATGTTTAAGGGCCCGGAGATCACGAGCATCCAGTAGAGTTTTACAGCCTTGACCCTTACGCACAGAGATTGTTCCAGATTCTCTGAATCTTTTGGTGATGTTATGCACAGTTGATGATGATAACTTAAAAGTCTTTGCTATTTTACGCTGGGTAACACCGTTCTGGTATTGCTGCACTATCTTTCTGCGCAACAATGGTGGAATTGGTGATCCTCTTACCATCTTGGCTTCTGAGAGACACTGACACTCTGAGAAGCTCTTTTTATACCCAATCATGTTGTCAATTGACCTAATTAGTGTTAATTGGTCTTCCAGCTGTTCGTTATATGCTCAATTTCCTTTTTCCAGCCACTTATTGCTTCTTGTCCCAACTTTTTTGGGATTTGTTGACACTGAAATTTTGAATCAACATATTTTTTCTTTAAAATGTTACATTTACTCAGATTAAACTTTTGATCTGTCATCTATGTTATATTACAAATAAAATATTGACATTTGCCATCTCCACATCATTGCATTCAGTTTTTATTCACAATTTGTTAGTGTCCCAACTTTTTTGGAATCCGGTTTGTAGATTAGGTGCGGCATCTGTGTACAGCTCTGGGTATAAACACGTAGTCTGTTTGTCATATGTTTGGTGTTTTACCTGCCTGCATGCTGAAACCACTTGACAACTTACAGCCAATAATGAAACTTGACACCGAAAAAAGAGTGACGTTTCAATCCATACACCGACCGGTGCAGTTCGGTCGGTGCCGTTTAAGAACCTCGGTTCGGTACTCAGCCCTAAATGACACAATGTTTATTCAGCTGGTTTCATCCGGTTATCAGTTGGAAATTCCTCGGGGGGGGGGGGGGGGTGAGCCTCAGATCACATGTTCTCCAGGTGAATTCAGATAAGATGGCCTTCAAGACCAGACAAGGGAGCAAAATTCAGATAAACACACAGTTGTTTTGAGGACAGAGAGAGCTTAATGACATCTACCTTGAGTCTGTGTTGGTCCACTCGGTTTTGAAATGTCCAAATTACATGGCCACACCGATGGAACGTGACTGAGTAAAATCCCCGAGATCTGATCCATTCTGCCCAAAGCATTTGAGTCTGGGTACTCGAGGCGCAAACTAAGCCATCATAAAGGCAAGCAGCGTGATCGGGTCCAAATTTGCTGCCGACGACTTCCTTGATTGATCGACAAAACCAGCAACCAGCCGAATCCAAAAAGCAGGAACCAGTTATCGTAAATTCACTTAAATATGCGTCCTTAAAATCCACAAATGGCAGCAGAGATACACATCATCAAGTCTTCAAGTCGACGAGATATCCAGCTGCGTGCATGCCAACAGGGCAAATCGGCTCGTCTAAAGCCTGTCTTCTCTTCAAAGAAATGTTATAAATTGAGTTGAGAGACCAACTGATCAAAACAAGTCCATAATTATGGTTTATAAGATATGCAAGAGAGGCTCAGAAGCAGTTTCACAGACAGACAGAGCAGCAAAACAAAGCGGAGAGGGAGATGAGGGGAAAAGCGTCCGACCTCGGCAAGAGCAATTGGTAAATCTATATTTTGTGCAGACTTTTTCAATCTAAATAACAGAAGTATCATTTTTATTTTTTATTTTTAATACTTGGAGACTGTATACTAAATAAAGTAATTTCAGTAAAATTAACCCTTGTTTTTTTTTGTTTGTTTTTATATAATAAGCAACATGTTAGGTTAATTTTATCAAATGATTAACTATGATTTCTGTTTTTTTTATATCACGAAATTTATCGTTATTGTCAGAATGTTCTGAAATATCACAATATTATATTTGAGCCATATCGCCCACCCTTACCCTCGTTGCCTCTGATGTGTGTCCCATCAGTGTATGAATGTGATAAAGCTCTGATTAGTTTCTTTAGAATGATTTGTTCAATTATCTTTGTAGAGATCTTGTAGAGTGCTGTATGAATGGGTAAATGAGGACACAGATTGTAGTGTAAAGCGCTTTGAGTATCTTGATCAGATAGAAAGGCGCTATATAAGTACAGTCCATTTACCATTTGCAGTTCATTTACCTGTTTCCTCTTTGCTCTATTTTTAGAAATTATGGGATCTCCTTTTGTTGTTACGCGGATGATACGCAGATATATGTCCCGCTAAAGAAAAAGGACTAACTCTGTGGCCCATCTGTTTTCATGTCGGGAGGACATCAAAGCCTGGATGGCTGTGAACTTCTTAAAGTTCAATGAGGGAAAGACTGAGGAGATGATCTTTGGAAGCTCCACTGAGACTCCCAGTGTAGATGTTGGTTCCTTGGCCCAGTACATCAGGCCAATTATTACAAACTTGGGGGTCAAAGTCGATGCTGGACTAAAATTAGAAAACCACGTCAGAGCTGTTGTTAAAACTATTTTTTTCCATCTGAGGCAGCTAAAGTGAAGCTGATTCTTTCTAAGCAGCATTTAAAACGGTAGTTCACGCCTTTGTGACCACTCGGCTGGACTACTGTAATGCACTCTATACAGGAATCTGTGATTCATGTATCTGTCAGCTTCAGAGGGTACAAAACGCTGCTGCACTACTTTTAATTGGCACACAAAGGTTTGACCACATTTCTCCTGTTTTAGCTTCCCTGCACTGGCTGCCCATACATTCCAGGATTCATTATAAAATTATTTTTATTTTCTTTTAAAGCTCTTAATGGACTTGCCCCGCCCCATCTGTATGAGTTGCTACATCTGTACACACCCTGTCCATCCCTCAGGTCATGTGATCAGCTGCTCCTGAGGGTGTAAGCTCAGAGGAGACCGTGCTTTTACTGTGGCAGCTCCTAAACTGTGGAACATCAGACAGGCCTCTTACCTGTCTGTTTTTAAATCCCTTCTTAAAACCATCTCTTCTCCCCGACCTCTGACACTATCTGAAATGACTTTTAATTATTTTAATCGTTCTTTCTTGTCTGATTATTTTATTATGCGTGTATTTATTATGCCCTTTGGTCCTGTGGGAGTGCTCTATAAATAAAGCTGGTATGGTATGGTACCATAACCATGAACCCCTGAATGACGGTCACAAGTGGTAAACAGTAATTTCCTCTGTTGTATATGTTGGATTAACACAGAAAGAGAGTTACAGTTTGTTTATTTGTAAGTTTATCATAAAGAAGTTGTCACTTTGCTGCATTACGTGTTTGCTGCATCAGTTTCACTTGATGTGAGGTATGTTTTGATATTTAGTTCCTTTTAATACGTTTTCCTGTTTTTGGTCTCTTAGAAAGGAAAAGCAGATGAGCAATCACACAGCATGCATGATGAGGAGGAGGAGGAGGAGGAGGAGGAGGAAGATGATAATGGAGGCGACACAATGATGGTAGGTTTACTTTCTGTTCTACAGTTCAGAGTAGGCGTCCACAAATGGTGAACTATAGTCTTGGACCCTCCAGATCAAATCTGTCACCTAGGACCAGTCTGCCTTGGGAGAGAGACCCTACCAGTCCAACAGCTCCTCGGTTCATTCAGGGGCACAGACTCCTCCACCACGATAAGGTGGTGATTAAAGTCCCATCTTTATCCAGACTGGTTGTTAAATTTCAGTGGAATTATTTTTTTTGTCTTGTGCACCTTTTTTTTTATCATATTTATGGTAATTGATTTCACACCACACAGTTTTTTTTAAGCGCCCGTCGAAAGTGCACAAATTCTGATGTAGTCTCTGTAGGTACGTGCATACATTTTTTTACTTGTCCCACCCGTAACTTCTGATCCACTTAGGGTAATTTAACAAAACTTTATGCACGTATGCATCATCACTCTACAGTGTGTCTTTTTTTTCATTCAACCTTTATACACTTTAGTCTCATTGAGCCTTGAGGACTCGTTTACAAGAGAGACCTGTTTTAACAAAGAACACAGATGACGTACAGACAACAACAGACAATCATATAAAAGCATATGTAATGAAAGTAAATAGAAGAAATGTAATGAAAAACGAAACATAAACATCTACATTATAAAGCAATGTAAAACAGGAAAAACAGGAACATGTCTGCGTTGGTAAACGTACACTTTCACAAATCAAGGTCAAAATGAAAAGAAGGTCTTTGCTTGTTGGGGCCATACTTTCTGATCCTCACAGGATCATTTAATGAATCATCTCTAGATGGAGTGTTGCATACACTTTTCATTACCAATGCTTTAAGTTCAAATATCACACAAGATATTCACTTTCCCTCTACTCATAGTGAAGCCAGCCAGCATACTGTATATGTACAATCTGAGAAAACGGTACCTGAGTAGAGACCCAGCATGGCTAACGCTAAACGCCAGAAGTTGAGAGGTACTAGTCGGGCTCATTTTCTGTCCATTCATCCCATTTGTTTTGAGTTCAGAGACGGTAGCAAAGTGTTACTGCCGTGTTGAAGACAAGTGATTCAGTTGGTTGTACCAAGTGTTTATTGATTATTGAACAGCTGTCTGTGTGAAGATGAACATAGTGCTGCTGGCATTAAGTGACTGTCTCGTGATGAAAGTTTTATATTAAAGCTAATATTTAGTTTGATCTTTGGACACCCATTGTCTTCCTGCTTGTGACGCTCGTTCTGTGTCTGAACTTGACAGAGTGCCGAGGACATAATCGCAGATCAGGCCAAGCAGGTACCAGATGACCCATATGCTAATCTCAGCAAAAAGGAGAAGAAGAAGAAAAAGAAGGAGGTAATTTCTGTACATTTACTTTATTTATCTTTAGTTTGTAGGGATGGTTGTAAGCATTAGACTGTCGTCAGCATTGATTTGTGTGTTTTTTCCACTAATCAGCTGCAATGTTATGTATAATGTTATAAATATTGGATGTAAATGGTAAATAGACTGTACTTATATAGCGCCTTTCTATTTTATTTCAAGACGCTCAAAGTGCTTTACACTACAATCTGTGTCTTCATTTACCCATTCATACAGCTCTATACTAGATCTCTACAAAGCTAATTGAACAAATCATTCTAAAGAGACTAATCAGAGCTTTATCACATTCATACACTGATGGGACACACATCAGAGGCAATGAGGGGTTCAGTGTCTTGCCCAGAGACGCTTCAACATGTGACTGCTGGTGGATTCGAACCCCCAACTCTTGCATTGGAGGACGACTGCTCTAACCACTCAGCCACAGCTGCCCCTATGTGGTGATGTGGTGTTTTTTTTAAACAACTGTTGTTGTTGTTTGTTTCCAGAGGGAGTTTGAGCGTCAGATAGCCAGTGTCCGAGCTGAGAGTGCATTGGAAGGAGATTTCTCTATATCCCAGGCTGAGATGTCCTCCAGACAGGCTATGCTGGAAAACGCCTCAGATATCAAGGTTTCATATTAAGAGTTTTATATGCAGCTGTTTTTTCCTGTTCAGTTATTTTAATTGATGTTTTTAAGTAACATAATTGAAAACAGTCTGTAAAATGTTGCATGACATTTTGTTGTGTCTTTAAGCTGGAGAGGTTCAGCATATCTGCTCACGGCAAGGAGCTTTTCATCAATGCTGACCTTCTGATCGTCGCGGGAAGAAGATATGGTTTGGTTGGACCGAATGGGTAAATAAACTTTGTTATTGCTGGCTTTAAACACAAGCACCAAGACCTCTGCTTCTAAGAGAAAATGAATGTGGTGGGTGTACAGTTGGGCTAAAATTACTGAACATTTTCTAGATTTTTTATGAAACTGCCTTTTGCGGTTTAACCCAACAAGGAGCTTTATCTGGAAAGAATGACACCCAGATGAGAGGGGGGTGATTTTGGGGGTAAATTGACTTACAACAAGTTCTTGGTAGGAATGTAATCCATAGTGTTTCCTCCCGTTTTGTTTAACTGGAGAGGAAGAACACCCAACGTGACGCATCTTATCTGCCATTCCGAGTTAGGAGACTGATTCAGGGATACACCGTATGACAAAATACACACATGATGGTTCATTTACCAGGTCACAAACATGCAAGTGTTTATGACAGCATGAGCCTACCACAGCTTTGCCTGTACACGTTGTTGAACATAACTTATATTTGCACAGATAAAATATATGTATTTCTAGCTTTGAGAGCCTCGTACAGTAGCAGTATGCCCCAAGTAACCAAGCTTTTTCGGTCACTAACAGACATTAGGCTAACAAAAGTTACTTTTCTGTAACTTCTGTTTCGTATAATAAAGACTGAAGACAAAACTGAAGTGGTTCTCTTCAACAGCTTCAGTCCAAAAACACGTTTACAGTGTAAACACAACCGCTCCTCTCTGGGTATACGAGTCCACCTGCCACTTTAAATGGCTAAATGATGTGCTGAATGTCGAAGAACAAAACTCATTCGCAAACGATCAGGTGTAGATTTCATCAATTTTAATAGCACAATCCTTTGTGAAGAACTAGTCAAGATGCAGGAAGGCATAATAGCATACCATTCAGATCACAATGACAGTAAAGTGAATTCAATTCAGTTTATTTTAAAGCACAGGAGGTGGTCACATTATTGATATATATCTTTTCATTCAACTTTTATTTAGACAGGTAAATCCCATTGAGCCTCGAGGACTCATTTACAAGAGAGACCTGATTTCAGCAAAAAATTATGACCACAATGGACAACAGCTACAACAATAGACAGTTATAAAAAGGCATACAGATTTATTTATTTACAAGTAAGATGGCAAAAAATAACAAAAAAAGCTAGATTCTAAGGTGAATGTAGAAAACTAAAAACAGGAACATGTCTGCATTGATCCTTGCCAGGAGTCCAACAGATTCTTAAAGCCACTTAGAGAGGTCAAGGTCGAGAGTTTCAAATCTTTTTACAAGATACTCCAGGAAACGGGAGCGGAGTAGGAGAAGGCCCTTTTACCTAGTTCAGTCCTCACTGAGGGAACACTGCAGGTAATAATGTCCTGAGAGCGCACGCTGTAGCTGTACTCACACAGAGACATGTGGAGATATATGAAGGCAGCAGACGAAGAAGTGATTTAAAGATGAAAATGTACCAGTGAAAGTCTGTGTGAAGTTAATGATGTCCAGTTAACCAGAGAATACAGTGTGCAGTGGTGGGTACGATAATCACAGCCAGTATGAATCTTATTGCACCGTGATAGACCGCATCCAACATCTGCAGGGTGCTTGTAGGAGCGTTCATGTAAATAATGTCACCGTAGTCAATGGAGGGAAGGAATGTCACAGATACAAGGCGTTTTCTAGCATTCAGGGTTAGACAGAATCTGTTTCTGAAGAAGAAACCCAGTTTAACTGTCAGTTTCTTTACTAGGTTTTCCACATGGAGCTTAAAAGAGAGATGCGAGTCGACCAAGATTCCCAGATATTTATAGGAATCAACAAATTCAACCGGGACACCATTTGAGGATAAAATCAGAGGAAGAACTGCTGGGACTGACTTCCTGTTTGAAAAAAGCATCCCTTTGGTTTTGTCGGCATTTAAGACCAAGTTTGAGACGGAACAAATCAGCCTGGATGATGTTAAATGCAAATTGCAAAAGCTGGAAAGCCTTTTCAACTGTTTTAGCTCGACAATAAACAACTGTGTCATCAGCATAGAAATGTAAGGATGCATCAAGGATGCTCTGACCTACATTACCTATGTAGATTGTAAAGAGGGTGGGTTCCAAGACTGAGCCTTGTGGTACACCATTGTTGACTGTTAAATAACTGGGGGAAGTACCATTATGTTGAACACATTGGCTCCGATCTAAGAGATGGTTAGAGAACCAACCAATGGTGTGATCTGAGAAACCGATTTCTGAGAGCTTATAACACAAGATGTTATGATCCACAGTGTCAAAAGCTTTAGACAGGTCTAAGAAAAATGCAGCACAATAATCCTTAGCATCCAGTGCTTCAACAACGTCATTAAGAACCTTCAGTGAAGCAGTCGTTGTGCTGTGTTGTTTCTTGAAACCAGATTGATGGGGAGGTAAGATGCTAAATGAGTCCAGGTAATTTTTGATTTGAGAGTTTATCAGTTTTTCTAGAACCTTGGCTAAAATGCAGAGTTTAAAGATTGGCCGATAGTTGTTCAGTGAGTTGGGGTCACTTCTCTTCAGTAAAGGATGAACAAAGGCTGTTTTCCAAGTGTCTGGAATGGAGTTTTTGCTTATGGACAGGTTAAAGATGTGGGTCACAGGGACTGTGATGATATGAGCAGCCAGCCTTAAGAAATAAGGTGGAAGTTCATCTGGTCCTGCAGATTTTTTTAGGATCAAGACCTTTTAACAGTAAACAGTATCTTGTTGATATAGTAACATAATAGAGTACAGTCCAGGCATATATATATATACACACTTCCTCGACACTGAACAGCTTATTAGTAATAAAGACCTGCAATATTTCTTATTTTGAATGTTTAGCATATACATTTCTGGTTCAAGAACACTTATACAGTAAATACCATACCATTTTATTTATAGAGCACTTAAAACAGCGACAAGGCCAACCAAAGTGCTGTACAGACAGAACAACAGATAACACACAAAGCAAAGTACAAAATGAAGTAAATCAGAAATGGACATAAAAACGATGCAGATAATGACTACTAACCAGTGTGGAGCATACAGGTTCAAAACACAGATCATCTGGTGTTGAAAGCTACCAAATAGTAGTTGGTTTTTAAACCGGACTTGAAAACCGAAAGGGAGGGGGCCTGTCTCACAAGCAGAGGTAGTAACTCGTTCCAAAGTCTTGGTTTTTGGTCTAAATAGTAATGTAGTTTTCAGTTGTTTTGGATACTTGAGTACCATTCTGTTCTTGCATTGTCACACAAATGTTGGATAAAAATATTCTCTGTTCATCTTTGTAGTATGAACAGTATGCTGAGATATATTCATACATTTACGGGTTCTTCATTTTTCTGACTGTGTAGCATGCGTGCATTGAGTTTAACAGAAATGTAACGAGAGACGTTATTTATCTTTGACCCATCAAAATGAATGCGGTCATTTATTTACAGAATCAAAGTTTAACATCAAACATTTACATTAATTTGGCAAAATATGAAAACAATAACATGGCTAGTTTCACAGGAAGTGGGAACAATACGGAGATTGTTGTCACTTTTCAGCAGAACAGCAGACATCAATCACACGGCGGTGATTGAGAAACTTTGCTTCAGACATTTCTAAAATATCTGTAATGATTTTAGGAGAAAGGAGAGTTTAAGATGGAAAATGGAGATTTATCTTACAGAGAGATGTGTGAGGGAATTTATCTGTTTGACCAGAAACGTGCACGCTCCTTCAGATCTCAGCTTGGCCACGGTACGCTTGGTCGAAATAGAACTTTTACCTGGTTGATGATAGATCAGGTCGGCGTGAAGTCCTTCTTTTGACTCTTTCAGCGTCTCCGTTGAGAACAGCTAAAATACTTTTAGGAGTCGTGTGAGGTTATCCAAACAGAAGTTATAATTCCCAAAATCGTCTCTGGATTCTGGATTCCAATAGAAGCATCCTGGACGCCTGCGTTAGCATCCAAGAACTCTGAACTCTTTAACTCTCTTCAGAGAGTTAAAGTCTGGAACTCTTCTCCAGGAAAAACTTTCAAGCTCTGAAAAACTCCACTGTTGAACTGGGAAGTCGCCACATTTAAATGGGTTCGACTTACGGGTCATTTGAGAGCTTTTTGATTGGTCGATGGACCAGAACAGAGGTGTGGTTTGTGATGTAAGGTGTTATGGAAAGTCAAGGATTGTTTAAAACAGACAGAAAGATTATTGGAGAAAACCAGTCTCAGTGGCGTCTCTTCTCCTAGTATCTGCTGTAAAAGTTAAACATGACATTTCTTTTCAGTAAACTTTTTAGTTGACCGAAACCTGAACTTTGACACACACTTACAAACTTGCTCATTGAAGACAGAAAAATCAAGAAATGCATATTACCCTGATTTCTTCTTTGAATGAGGAATAAAAATCATTACTTACTGTTTATGTAAATAAAAATGAGTAGTTCTCTTCAACCTGTAAACATTGTTTGAACTAACACAATTTGATTATCAAACATTTGTAAAATAGTAATGATCATAGAGAATTGTCATTTCTACTTGATTAATTCAAGAAAGAAAGTCTCAGGATGGGTCAAACTGTATTTCTGGATGCAGATCAATGAAATAACAGTTTCTGTCCATCTGGTCAGATTTGACATCAGGTCAAGTTCACTACATCTTATTTACTAGGGGTGTAATGGTACGCTAAAATCACATTTCGGTTCAGTTCAGTTTCAAAGAGGGCTCGTTTCGGTTCATTTTCGGTACAAAAAGGCCAAAATGAAGACTTAGAAAATGTTTATTTTGAAAATATGTCAAGTAAATTATATGTTTGTATAAAAATAAATAAAAGCTACCTATTTGGATATTGTAATTAAAAGGCACTCTTTACAATAAATAAACTATACTAGCAATAAGAAAAGTCTTAATAAATACATTAACAGTCAGAACCAGAACAATAAGCAGCAACAGACTGTTTACAATCTAACTAATCAAGTTTTAAGTTTTTGGCCAAACAGACCAACTTGTCCGCATTTTCTGCCAAAAGTTGCAGTGAATATCTCAGCAGTGG